AACATAACATCCTGGTCCTGATCGGTAAATATACTCTATTCCCTATTCATTTGGTGAAGTTGTACTTTACAATCCCATAAATGAGAAAATCCATTATCATTTCTTGCCATGTCACCGATTATATAGCTGTCTGTTCCCCGAGCTGGGACGAACTGGGCTGCATACCAACGAGACACCCGGGCTAGTTTAGGAGTCAACTGAATGTGTTTTGCATTTTTCCGAACCCCAAAAGGTAACGCATGCATATTTATAGACTCTCTTGGTATTTTAGAGTTTTTTTTTTCTTGCCTTGTGTTTTGAAGAGTTTTAACCCGCCCTGATTCTTTCACCGCACAATTAATCAATTTTAAAAACCTCTCTCCTTGTTGGAGAGAAGGCCAGTTTTATAGCAAACTTTTCAATTAGCAGCTTGATGTTAAACTTAAAAGACAATGATGGGACAATGATAATGTGTTTTTTGTTTTGTTTTTTTTACGATTTGAAACTGGCACATACTGGAACATACTCTGCAATCTGCCAAAGAGAAAGAAATATAATTATGATATTAGTTTTTAATAAAAAAAAAGATGCTATGATTGTATCAGCAGCTATGGTAAGGGAAAATGTACACACTACACAATCTACACTGACAAATGTCCATTATCAGGTGAGGAGCAGTGGCTCTGCAGAGAACAGCCAGTGTGAACGTACTAAACACCTGTAGTGAGTGAACGAGGAGGAGAGCGTACACTTGACCAGTTCAATCCTCTCCTCCTCCTCCTCCTCCTCCTCCTCCTCCTCCCTCCCCCTCACCCTCTGTATCCGTTCCTGGTGCTCATTTGTTCTAACTACCTCGGTCCATCTGTCTTTATCGCTCACTTGTCTCAGTATTTTTTCTCCTCCCTCTCCTCTCCTGTGCACCCCGGGGACACATTCAGTATTTTTAGAACATGTCCACATTTTACTGACTGGATTTTCTATTGATCATTTATGGCATTCTATGTTAATGCATTGGTGTGTATGCATGTGTGTGTGTGTGTTTGTAAGCAGCTGTTTACTGGTGCATGGGTGGGACGGCTGCACCAGATTGGCAGATGCAGGGAGCGAGAGAGAGAGAGAGAGAGAGAGAGATTTAGCAGTCGAGAGAATCTCCCAATTATATTTCCACTGTGGGTTCGTGTTCCTTCCTTACCTTCATTCTCTTCCTCTGCACCACGGTGAAGTGGTACTGATCAATTTCACAGGCATTCTGTTTACAACACACCACCTCGCGTCAGCACACACACACACACAGGCGAGTATGTGTCGGTGTATGTGTGTGTGTGTGTGTGTGTGTCAGGAAGAAATATGAAATAGTCGGTTCTCAAAGACTGGGTGGAGACTGCAGCAAAATAAACCAAATACTGTCACAGGACACGGAGAGTCATGTGACCGGACTGACCCCACATCTGTGGAGGTGCAGGTTTGTTCACCAGAGCTCCTGTCCATAAACTGTGTGGAAGGGTTAACACACATACACACACACACCCACACACACAGAGTCGGGTGGTCTCCTGCCACCCCAATAATGGAGGTCTCAGGTTTTGATTAACTGTTGTTTGAGGTGCTATCAGGGTCCAACAGCAATCACAGCTAAAGGCAGTCAGAGTGCACAGATTATCTGGCTTAGGTTAGAAGTGAGAGGGGAAGGGATGAAGGGAAAGACGGAGGAGCAGAGGGAGGGTGGAGATGGTAAAGGATAATTAAAGGGGGGATGACGGAGAGAAGAGGGAAAGGGTAAGGGGGGCGGAGGAGTACTGGGTGTTGTACTGTGGTTTGAAGTGATGGAGGTGGGAAAAGGTGAAACCTCAAAGAAGATCCACGGACCTAGTAAACGATGACATGATGATGGTTGATGTAACAGCGGAGGAGACAAGGGAAAAGGTTGAGACGGTGACAAATGATCTGTGGAGAACCCCCTGAACTGAGACGAAGGGAGAGGGTCTCAATCCCTTCTCTGCCCTCACTCATATTTCTCCTGTTAGGTCTCAACATGATCAGTCCATCCGTCTCCAGTCTGAGTCTGACACCATCAGGTCAGGGTCAGCACCTAATATGAGCTGCAGGTGTGGACCTGGACGTTTGTGTCATCACAGATGGAACGTTAGATCAGGAACTGGACGTGAATTGAACCGTAGACCACAGAAGTCTTCAGACCTACCTTCTCCCATTCTCTCTCCTTGTTGAGAACAATAACCACCAGCTTTGGGTTCTCCTGGTACCCGTCTTCTGTGAAGGACAGGTCTCTGCCGTCCCACGTCACATTCATCATGTACCTGAGACAGAGGTGGACACAGAGAGAAATGGAGGAAGATCTTTAGTCAAATATTTTTTCACCATAACAAAGGTCTTATTATTTACTACAGCAAACAATTTATCTTCATTCATCGATACGACAGTGATAAATACTCTTCTACTTCCATTAGGTGGCAGCAAATTGCTGCAGAAAAAGGAGAGAGAGCTCTCCCTTCAGGTTAGTCTTTCCTCGATTCCTGCGGGTAAATCAGCATCGTGTTCAACTAAACACTGACTAAGTACATTGTGAATTAAATTGTGAGTAAATTGAAACTTGAAAACCATAATATTTACTCTGTGACTTTTTTTTGGTGGTGATTAATGTAAAGAATGTGCTGTGTTAATAATGCTGAGTTAGTCATTTAGCCATAATTATTAAGTTCTGTCTCTCAATAAGAATATGGATGGAAATGTAACCACACACACACACACATGGCAGAGTCACTGCTAAGCTGCAGTAGCCTCTACTTCACCTCGTTGTGTCATCATTCATGCCACGTTGAACACACGCCACCTGAGGCTCCCTGTGTGTTTTGTGACTTACCACCCTGGTCCTCTTTAAAAGCCCTGAATCAGCACTGATAGCGGTCTTTGTCATTTTTCAACCCGCACCCCCCCCCCACTATTTTTTTTTCTCCCAGCCACAGATCGTCCGTGCACTTAATAGATTATGAGTGGTCTGAAATGGTACGTCACTGCTTTGAATGCTCCTTGTCATGACCACAGAGTAATGTCTCCGTCCTTAATGGCCCCAAAGCATTCTCACTCATCTTTAAATCTTTGTTGAGACCCCTTCTTCTCGCAGCGAGGCCTCCAATAAAAGTCCGATTTTTTTTTATTACAAAGTAAGGCTGTTGTAATCACTGAAAGTGCCAGGGGAACTTAGTTTAAGTGATCTCCTGTGTCAACAGCTCTTTTCCAGGGCAGGGCACGGTGGTTGTAGCAGAGAAGATGACGGCTGTCAAACCTGAGTGTGTACCAGAAATGACAGTACTGCGCAAAACACTGGGGGTGTACACACTTACGATCGAGCCTCCTTTTTTTAAATTTTTATTTTTGTAAGTATTTTAGGCAGATGTGGAAAGGCAGGAACCGTTTCCCCAACAACAATTACTTTTTTTTCCTGACACTTGGGACATTTTGATTGTATGAATTCAAATAACCTACAGTGGGCGGAGCCACCTCTGTCAAGAAGCCACCTTTAAAATATAACTGAGCCTGAGCTTCTGAATCTACACATTTATTTAAAATTCTTATGGAAAGGACGTTTCACAAAAGTGTGAATACCGTGAACACACACAGCTGCCTTGAACTTTTGTGCATCGCTGAACATTTTTAAAAAATGTTCCATAAAACCCAACATAAAGATGGTTTGGTAATTGCTCACTAGAGGAGGATTAGAATGAGAGCACAATCGAGGCACTGCCGCTGCTGCTGCTGCTGCTGCTGATGTAATTGGACGTGCTGTATGTGTGTACTCTTACCAGCATGCTGCAGTGAATGTGCAGTGCTGGGTAACTGTGCTGCAGTGTGACTCCCCGCTCACTTCCCCTCCCTCGTCCCACTGCAACCCATTTTTACCCCAAAAATAAGAGAAAGGAGGAACAAAATAACACTGAGGATATTTTTATCCTGACTCCGTCAAGGCTTACAGTCTTCCTCCTCCTCCTCCTCCTCCTGCTCCTCCTCCTCCTCCTTCAACTGCATGCGTTTCTTTACTCAATCTCTTTTATCTTTATGCTTTAATCACCCTTTCATGTGCCCTTTCTCTGACGTTATCTTCTTCTCTCTCACTCCGGTGAATAGAGAGATCACTGATATGGTAGAGACTGGAAATGGAGAGAAATTGGATTGTTTAACTCAGAAGAGAAAAGGAAACATTACAGGGGAAATTATTCAGGTGTTCAGATAAAGTGTCCACACTGTGGACTGTGTGTGTGTGTGTGTGTAGTGGTGGGTTGTTTGGGGTCATCTTCCAGCATATACACTTCAGTCAGTGTGTGTATCCTAGCAACACCCATTTGAGGTCCACCTGTTCGATGGACATCAGCCCAAACTACCTGGCACACAAACAAACATACACACACACACACACACACACACACACACACAGTCTGACAGTATATCTGTCCTGTCTGGATCCTGATCTTGCTGGCCACATATTTTCACAGCCTTACGTGACAGTTACCTCGATTTCTTTGTTGAAATGAGGTTAAAAAAAAAGACTTTTTTTTTAAGAAAAAAAAAACTTATTCAGTTTATTCTTTGTTGAAATGAGGTTAAAAAAAAGACTTTTTTTTAAGAAAAAAAAACTTATTCAGTTTCTCTCCACAGCTTTTATACAGAGATTTAGATTTTTTAAATCTTTTAACAAAACCATAAACTCCAAGCCGGACACTTCTGTGTGTAAGGCATACGTGTATGGCAGCTGTGATAATCACTACACTATAAAACTTGAATGAAAATGCCTTAATAACAATAATAACAGTTTTATGATCTGTTTTGTTAATGTGACTTTGGTTTCCTGTTTATGAAACTGAGATATTTTAATACATTCCTCAGAACATTTTCAGTAAAATGAAGACACTGAAAAAGAATGTTCTTGTTTTGTTATATTAAGGCGTCTTTAGAGAATAATCATTATGGATGATTTGCATAAAAACACTGTACGAACCTACAGACCTAAAAAAGCAGGAACTGTTGCACGAATGACACAGAATCCTTTCTACAACAAAACACCTCGGCTCACACCTCTTTTCAAAGAAACAATACATGGTCACGCTGCCCCCACAATGAATTTTAAAGAGGACAGCAAAGAAGAAGCGTCTCCCCCGTGTTGGACACAAGCACTGACAGAGGGGAGGGAGGAGAGAGGGTGAGGAGAGAGGGTGAGGAGGATGGACAGCCATGATTAATGTGGCTCTGTGAACCCAAGAATATCTTCCCACTGCCTTCCATCTTGGTTAATGTGACCTGCCATATAGGTCATGCACTAGTGTGTGCATGTGTGTCTGTGTCTGTGTTGCTTGTTTCAACAGTTCACAATTAATGTTAGTGGTCACATTAAGTCTTCTCTCAAGGTTGTCATTACAACATCAAACACTACTGCACCTCGGCAGGATTTATGATGCTGCAAAAACCACTAAATGTGAGTGTGTGTGTGTTTATGATACAATTACAATTCAGTTTAAAAAGGTGTGTGTTCAACTGTAGCTATTATTACATGTTTATGACTGCTTCATAACAGTTAAGGACCTGTGCAAAGGACAGACCATAATATTAATGACAGTGAGTAATGTATTTTCATTTTTTTTGGTCTCATCATTTCAGCTCCTCTTTTTTGCACCAACTACAAATCGACACCAGCAGCAGAATTCACCAGAGGAACTGAAACCAGTGCAGACGTCAGTGAAGATCCCCACGTCTATATGGGAACGTAGGAACGTTCCCACTGCTGCTGCTCAGACGGAAGATGTTGTGCTGACGGGAAGAGACAGGAAGGAAGAACAACAGCCACCGTGCCGTACACTGTCACAGCTGCAACAGGTCGACGACTGACGGGGAAATATCAGAAATGCTCCAGAAAAGTTCTTAAAGAACTCACTTGATGAGCTACACTCAATGCTTCTTGGCCGTGTTTCGATGTAGTACTGCAGTATTTTTTAAAGGTCCAAAATTCAATACGTACAAGGTAAAATACACTGTTAGTGATTCCCAAAGTGGGGGGCGGGTCTCTGTAGTGTGGCGCAAAACTATTGTTGTAGGACGCAGGAGGCAGATAAAGGTCAATTTCAATATTTACAATTGCATTGCACACAAGAACATTATATTTAAGCAAATACCAAAGTCAAATATTTCACCTGTTTACATTTTTCTTTTTTAAAGTCTATTTATTATTCTAGTCTAGTGTTGTTCTTACATTAATAGTCACGTTTAGTCTGACAATAAAAATCCTTGAGTCCTTGAAATGCAAGCACTTTTTGCGTGATAATAAAAAAACTGCTTCTTCTTTTTCTTTTCTTTTTTGTATTGTGCAGTAGTTGCAGGATACAGCACACGCAGTGTGTTACATGGCTGTGTGTGTGTGTATTTCCTCAGTGCTGACCCTCATATATCAGGGTTACAGATCATGAAATTACCTGTCAGAAAATCCACAGACACAAACACACACACTCACACACACACACACACAAGTGCTTAAGTCTTTTAGGGAACACTGTTGACCACAGCTAGGTGAGAGGTATGTCGTAAATTGGTCATGACAGAACATTCTCTAAAGGGGGTGATATTTCTCTTGTTTCCAAAATGTGCACACACACACATTCACATAAAAGTACCATATTTTATATGGAGCTCAAGTTGTCACTTTGTCTGATTGCTGCTCTGGCCAGTGGTCTTAGTTGGTCATTTGTCTCCTGTTTTTATTTAATTTTACTTTTCCATTACTCTGCCCACATATTTATCTTGGATGTGTCACTGTGGATTTAATATCACAGCTGTCACGGCCGACACCATGAGTGAGCTGAAACTTCAGTGGAAGCCCACACGGCACTACGCTGCTCAGAGGAACTACAGACGTTTATGACTTTTCGGCGACGTTGACCTATTTCGCTGCCTCCAGAAACAGTTTGGCCTTTTCAAAAACTCTCCACTGGTTTAAGCCGAACGGTTGTCGTAACGACGGTGCGCAGCAGCAGATCCACAGGAAGATAAAAGACTAATGGAAAATAATGTGACACAGTGGAATTAATGGATCTCACATTGGTCACACCAGGGCTGCGCATTTGTACATACGACCCATCTGGCTCTTTCAGTACGTACGTGTGTGTGTGTGTGTGTGTGTGTGGTGTTCTCACAGTCCTCCTGACGGTCATTCACAGTCTACACTGGCCCATCGCCCTGACCGAGCTAGGCCCAATCATGTTTCTTATGTTCTGGCCTCTTAAGCCTGATTGGCTGAGCTCTCTCACCCACAACACAGCCATCTGTGGCTACTCATCACCTGAGTAACAACCTGAGGCAGCAGAGCATGCTGGGAGTAGACTCACTTGGCCCTGGATATTCTGTAATACTCTATAGCAAGGACATGAAGCTTAAGTTTCCCCAGAAACAGAACTACCACTGTCCTATCCTGTGACAGCAGTCACATGACAAGACAAATCCAATGATAGTAGATTTCTCCACACATCAGGTAAAGGAGCAGTTCAAAAATACATTTACCTCTAACAGAATAATAATATTTTATCTAATTTGTCAAATTAATATTAAATGTTCAGTTAAAACCTCACCTCATCAGGAAGGGCATCTGATTTAACAGGTTCAAATTGCGATGCAGACTGCTGCTGCTGTGGTGCCCCCTAGTGAAGGGACACACTAAACATGATTTATCTACTGTACCTTGTTTTATTAGTGTTAAGCTGAAATGGCACTTTTTTTTTTTACTGTGTGCTGCTGCTGTATGTGGGTCCACATTAGTCATAAAACCCACACGGAAACCTCAAATTAAATTTGACACCACCTTGTCTCCAGTTTACTTTTACTTGTC